TATGATTTTGTCACTTAAAATTATGGTCAATCAATATTGTATATTTTGTCGGCTAACTGTACACTTCTCTGCTATCTATAACGGACACGTCATCTATTTAATGTCTATTGAGATCTAAACATTATCAAAATATTTGAAGATTAAGCTGAGTTATATTGTTTTAATAAATTGAAATTTCGTTTATAAATACATTGTTGTGTTTATGAGTGTTTTCCAGTAGGCATTCATACAGGGTTATTTTTCAGAGTAGCCAAATTTTAAACTTAAGTTCAAATTTATAAATAATGATATACCGTTATTGCAGTTTTTGAAAATACGAGTAAATAAGGCTTCTACTTTTCACAGATAGATTGTGATTTATGGGCAACAACGTTTTTGCCTACCGATCGACGACAAATGTGAATTTTAAAGATAAAAAGGATCGATTGTTTGAGATTGTTTTTAATCAATTTTTTTTTCACCATTTTCCTATATTACTTATTCTGAACCTTCTCTGCAAATTTGGCCAGTCATTGCAAAATAACCATGTATAATATCTCTCAATTAATTATTTTAATCTGTCAACGTATTTAAGACTTCAAATATCATCTAAGAAGTGACTAATTTCGAGGGTGTTATTCTAGTACTTGACTAGTGCATCTTGCCAGTATGAGTTCTAATAAAGATGGATGAACTACAGTCTGAAATTATCTGTTATTTTGTGATTATAGTACAGAAAAGTTTGCTGTATTATTATGTTTTTCTATGAATTTCAATGCTCCTTTTTTATTTTTTATTTTTATTTTTTATAAAACGTTAGGGACTCCCACACACGTGATTTTTTCTTGAACCCTCGTCCCACTGTGTCGCAACTCAAAGAAAATTCTAAAATTAATTTCAATGACTAAATCAATATTCATATTACCTAAACGTCACCTTTCATTTCTGATATGTACATCTGATATGGAGCATTTCGGGGCGAAGCACTCGCCCTAAACTTCATTAAATTACAATGAGACCAAATATTTGATACCACTTTTGTGGTTAGGACTATTGTTTTTTTAAATTTGTTCCTGAAATTGGAAACAAAATTATGAATGGTAGCATTTTGCGGAAACCTTTTAATTAGTTTTGGGTTGCGCTATAATTTATGATTTTTAATACAAAATAAATCGCGAGTTGATTTTGCATATAATAGATTGATGTATGGATGTGGTAATGGCAGATAAGAAAGAATTTTGTATTATAGTAAACTTAATGACAGTGTTAGCTCTTTAGTTGTTTTCAGTTTTAATTTAGTCGGCGCTGATTTATTTTTAATATTATATTATATACTACGGTGTGCATAGTTGTCTGCATATCATGTGTAACGTCCATGCATTCCAGTGTATGGACATAATTTTGATATTTCGCTTTTGTTTTGATGGCGACTGTATTGTTTAGTCGTTAGATAAAATTATTTCGAATAAGATATGATACTTTAAAATTTACACCGGTAGCCGAGTAAAGCGACTAATTACTTTGCAACTAACAGTGGACATCCGAGCGTGTTTAAATGGTTTTTTTTGTGAATAGTAAGTTGTTTAGTTTATAAGTACGTATTTTATTCTCTGTGAGATAAGATATTTATTTAAGTAGGTTTATCTTTTCCTCCCTATGACGCCTTACATCGCGTGCGTTAGTCCTTCTGTTTTTGAATTTACAACTTTAAAATGATACGCTCTTATGTCCAAATGTTCGCGTTGCCGGTGATATGTTCTTTGTTTTTTATTTCCTGTCGTTCATTTGATAATAAGTGTACCAAAAAGTGGAGCGTGGTAATGATTCTACTACAATATTGTCGCGCGATGGTCCCGGCGATGATTCCTGTAGTTATGTATTGAAATAAATAATAAATACATTCTCTGATGTTTCATTATTCTGTTCCTTTTAGCGGAGAAATGATTACTTCAGCTAAAGTAGAACGACGTCCTAAATTCACCATGAAGTACGCTGCAGTTGACCACACTGTGAGTCAGTGTACCTGACTGCCGAGTTGTGTTTGCTAAATTGAAGACTCAAGTTTCTGCAAAAAGCTAAAACATAAATTTTTAGGTTTCTGGTCTGGTTTTCGTTTTGTATAGAATGTTGACGAACAGCCATACAATCCATCTGATGGTAAGTGGAAGTCATGGCTCAAAGATACACTAACATATATCCTTGATCAAGAATTAGAATCACTTAGAACTCGGAGGGGATGCCTGGATGCCAAAAGAGTCGAATTCTCATCACTCACCATACTTAATGCAGCAGTATGAAGCTGCTTATTCATGCTGGTATGGTCGTGCCGACCCATTCGTGCTATAGACAATTCAGGTGCAGTGCGGCTCTACCACGTACATGTCCTTGCATATCCTATCCTGTCGCAGTCTTACATTTTTTCACAAAGCTCTAGTGGCAAAAAAACTTGAGGACTAAGATGGAATGCCTGACGTACTGTACTGTGTCACTACACTTCAGACCAGAACATGACAGTTCAGGAACAACTAGCGTCATAAATACAGACGAACTCTAAGGTAGTAAAGGAGTCTCTATTTCCTAGAATATGGTGAATATGCGGGTATTTTGGGGACGAGAGTAGACCCTCTGATATGGCACCGCAAAACAATGCGTCGCGTGGGTGTACCTTGTACCGTCCCGTGGGTGTCGTACATAGAATACTATAATACATACGTCAATTTACACGTATAAATGTCAACACGAGATGTGTTTTGACGTAACAATCGTTTCCAAATTATTTAGAAAATACCAAATTGCACACTATTTACATATAAATATGTATTAAATGTTAAACGATTTTTTAATGATGATTTTGAACATTAATCAAAAGTCTAAAATGTGTAAATTCACTCAGTCTGTCAACACAGCGAATCGGGTTTGTAGTAGTTATAATACGACGTAATTGCTTGTATGTGTGCTCCCGGCGACGCCGAATCTCGTACAAAATAAGTTTGACAGCCATTCTATTATGTTTTATAGTATTCTATGGTGTCGTAAGAGGCGACATTGAGAATCCTAAGGTAGTTTTAATTTTTTTTAATAAAACTAAAGTAACAAACGTACCTACAGTCCACCCGATGGTAAGTGGGTACTGCGGTCCACGGACACCTACAGCCAACTTCAAATAAGGAAGACTAGACATGCGTTGTCACTTCTGAGGACTAAGATGGAATGTCTCACATTCTGAACTGTGTCACTGTTTGGCGGCAGAAATACAGACGGACTCAAAGGCAGAAAGGGATTCCCTATTTCCTAGAATATGGTGAATATGCGGGTAGTTTGGGACGATGGTAGACCCTCTGATATGGCACCGCAAGAGAATGCGTCACCTTGTACCGTCCCGTGGGTGTCGTAAGAGGCGACATTGAGAATCCTAAGGTAGTTTTATTTTTTTTATAAAACTCATGTAACAAACGTACTTACAGTCCACCTGATGGTAAGTGAGTACTGCAATCCACGGTCACCTGCAGCCAACTTCAAAAAAGTAAAGGTACACATGTGCCTCTACAACCTGTCATTATACTGGCTCTATATTCTTCAGATCGGAACATAGCAGTGCAAGAACTGCTATTTGGCGGTAGCACAGCGGTGACACTCTCTGTACGTGAGAGCTTAAGCGCCGGTGACCTTGAGTCGAAGCGTGTAACGCTAGGGTTGATATCGAACCGAAACCGACTTGTACGAAAGAAGATACATAGTAGGTATATGTTATATATTATGTAAACTTATGTATTTGGGTAGTGAAAGATACGTTCAATTTTAAATTAACTTTTATTAAATATTACGAATGCTAAAACTAAAACAAGGAATATTAAAACTTCCGACAAAACCAAATATGCACGACAGTTAATGGTAATTTTAAATAATTAACCTACACTTAGTATTTAAGTAGCAATAATCAGTATTACCTACTATCCTTTAAAATTAATTTACTCTTTTTTGAATTTTTCGATAGATTTTTTAAATTTGCATTATTATTTCTAACAATTGCTAAAATTCCTTCATCATTATAGCCCTTCACAAGTCCACTGCTGAACTTAGGCCTCCCCCAATTAATGCCACAAAGCAGGGTCCTGAGCCACCTGCATCCATCGACTTCCTGCATATCTTACCAGGTCGTCACTCCATCTAGTGGGGGTTCGCCCTACACTACGCCTACCGGTACGAAACTGCCACTCGAGAACCTTTCTTCCCCATCGATTATCGGTTCTTCGGAGCTATATGGCCGGCCCATTGCCACTTCAGCTTACTAATCCGTTGGGCTATGTCGGCCACTCTGGTAATACTGCGGATATCCTCATTTCTGAGTCTATCACGCAGAGAAACTCCGAGCATAGCCTTCTCCATAGCTCGCTGAGCGACATTGAGCGTCCTCATACGGCCAGCAGTGAAGGACCACGTCTCATATCCGTAAGTCATCACTGGCAACCCGCACTGGCACTTATACACTTTAGTTTTCAGAGATTATAGTATACCTGACGAGAAGATGTGTCGTAATTTCCCGAACGCTGCCCAGCCGAGTTGAATCCGTCGATTGACCTCTCGGTCGAAGTTGGACTTACCTAGTTGGACTATTTGTCCCAGGTAAACGTACTCGTAAACAACTTCGAGCATAGTGTTCCCAACAACTACCGGCATAGGTGTGACATGGACATTAAACATGATCTTTGTTTTGTCCAGGTTCATCTTAAGACCTATCCGTTGGGAGACACCATTGAGGTCATTGAGCATAGTGCTTAGGTCCTCCAGCGATTCTGCCATAAGGACTATATCGTCGGCAAATCGCAGGTGAGTGATGTACTCGCCGTTGATGTTAATACCGTATCCTTTCCAGTCCAGTAGCTTGAAAACGTCTTCCAACGCAGCGGTGAAGAGTTTCGGGGATATAACGTTACCCTATCTTACACCTCTCTGCAGTTGGATAGGTTTCGAACTCTGGTTCTGTACTCGGATAGCCATCGTAGCCCTACTGAACAAACACTTCAGCACTTCGATATACCGACAGTCAACTTGGCACCGCTGAAGGGACTGTAGCACCGCCCAAATTTCGACGGAATCAAAGGCTTTCTCATAGTCCACATAGCCAGGCAAAGTGGCAGATTGTACTCTTCAGTCTTCTGTACAATCTGCCGCAGGGTATGTATGTGGTCTATGGTACTGAAGCCTTTTCGGAAACCGGCTTGTTCGGGAGGCTGGAAGTCGTTGAGTCTGCGTGCGAGACGATTCGTAATGACTCTAGAAAACAGCACGTAGACGCGGCTCAGAAGGGAAATCGGTCTGTAGTTCTTCAAGAGAGCATTGTCGCCTTTCTTAAAGAGCAAGACCACTGCACTTCTGCTCCACGCCTCCGGAGTAGTGCCACCATGGAGGACGGAATTGAAGAGCTTCTGAAGGACTTCAAGTACCGGTGTTCCACCCGCTTTCAGGAGCTCCGCTGTACTTCCATCCTCGCCTGGGGCCCTGCCGTTTTTAAGGTGCTGGAGAGCCATTCTAATCTCGCACAGACTGACGTCCAGGATATCATAGGAATAGTGTCGGATAAGACTTGCTCTTGGCTCCCACGATGATGTGTACAGCTGCCCATAGAACCTCTCAATCTCAATCAAAATCTCAGGTGTCCCGGAAACGATGCTGACAGTCTTCAGCTTTGACAGTTGGCTCTTTCTGGCGGACAGATCTCTGGCAAAGACTTTGGAGCCCTGGTTCCGCTCGATTGCTTCTTTTATACGAGCAGTATTAAAGTTGCGTAAGTCTCGCCGCATGCATTTGGAGATCTGTCTGTTCAGTTGCCTGTATGCTGTCAAATCAGTTTGCATTCAGTGTGCCTCTAACCATTCGGTGATCGCTGCCAGTTTTCACCTTTGCGATCACTGAGACATCACTGAACAGTTGGCGTCTGGTCGTCATAATGAAGTCAATCTCGTTTTTTGTCGAACCGTCGGGGCTCGACCAGGTCCACTTTCTGTGGGGCCGCTTCTGGAAGAAAGAGTACATCATAAAAAGTCCCTCTTTCTCCATGAAGTCGGCCAGCTGCTGGCCTCTTGGGTTCCGTTGCCCTATCCCAAATTTCCCTACTTTCAGCTCACTGTTCTTTCTTGTGCCCAGTTTTGCGTTGAAGTCTCCCATTAACACCGTATAGTGAGTTTTGGAGGAATGCGTGGCTTTAGAAATGTCCTCACACATTTCCTCCACCTCCTCATTGGGATGTTCCGACGTTGGCGCGTAAACCTGTACGACCTTCAGTGAATACCGTTTGGTGATTCAGAGTATAAGGTACGCAACCCTCGTCGATACACTCCCAATCTTTAAAACGTTCTTAACGAGAGACTTGTGGACAATAAAGACAATAAATCCAACACCTCCTTGGGACAGATGGTCGCCTTCCCGGTGATAGAACAAGTTGCCGGATTCGAGAATCACCGTGTCCTCCCCCCTCTCTTCGGACCTCGGATAATCCTATAATATTCCAGCGCAACTTGTCTATCTCTTCTTCCAGCTCCAGGATCTTCTCGTCAGTCCTCAGGGTGCGTGCGTTAAATGTTGCCAGGTCGATTCATCGTAGGTGGCAACCGAACCTCCATCGGAGATTCTTAGCACCCCCTGCCCCGCCTTTACCATGGTTGCCACCGTAGCCAGGAATAGCGGGGCCGCTGGGGACTGGGGGCTGTCTATTTGTGTAATTCTTCATGTAATTCTTTATACCCCATATTGCCATAGTGGGCACGCTTGTCGAGCGGGTTGGCAACCGCAGTTTTTTTTTGTCGTACAGTTGCTGTTATTAGGAAGATGCTGCTGCCCATCTCCTGCCTGTTTCCCTCTGTCGCCTTTTACAACACCCACGGGAAGATATGGGGTAGTGGATAGTCTTGACCGCCACTACACGGTAAAAATTCCTAGCATGTATAATTTTTTTAGAAAATCCAAAGGGATGCAGGGTTCCTGGGACATGGCGGCCAACAACTTGTTTCCTATGTGTCAATTGAGGAGATAAGTCATTTTTATTTCTAATGAAATAATCCATAAATACAACAATGAACAAATACAACTCTTTATAGATAATATCTAAAATTTCTTGACTCTCTAGTGGTATTTTTAATTGTGTATATTTCAGTTAATTTATTTTAATAAAATTGTTGGCGATATATTAGTTTTATTGTCATGGTATTTCCCTATAATTCTTGTTAAGATCATAATCGACTTTCATTAAAATTAGTTCACATAATATTTTTAGGTATCGTAAAACATTATTAAAAATTGAACTAACAAAACAAGGGCCCTTGTTTTGTGCAGTGGAATTTATGTTAATTCAAATCACTTTCAGTAGTACTTATACATACACACGCACACGCACACCCTCACGCGCGCGCACGCACGCTCGTGCGTATATATGTAGGTGTAGTAAGTGATGTTCTTATCCTTATCTTTTTTCCAAGATTTAAAGGCACACACAGTCAATTTGCGAAATTAAAACACCGGAGCGTTATAGTGAACGTCGCTGGCGTAATGACGGAACGATCGAACGAATACAGCAGTATTGTCGCTAGATTACTTTATATATAGGTACTAGAGATTGTCGCCTTTTAAATGGAAGCGTTTTAGACGTGCGTACACGGTATAAGGACCTATGAAAGATCTTAGGATAAGGGTGACAAACGAGCACACAGTCCATCTGATTGTAAGTGGTTGCTGTGGCCCATAGACATCTACATCTATCCTCGATGAAGAATCAAAATGCAGATGGGCTGTCACCCGTGAGGACGAAGATAGAATGCTTCTCTTCCAGTAAACAAAATCTCCGGTTCAGCCGACCCCATTCGTGCTACAACTATACTATTAATATTGCTGTAGCATGACTTTACCACGTTAAATGCCGGGCTAGTACTTTATAAAAACGAGTATAACAATTTGACTAAATTTTATTATCAAATGTTAACACTTAAAAAGTATGCATTCATTTAGTATCTTGACATCCCTCAGCCGTCCGGTGTTAAGATTCGTCGCTGTAATATCTTTCTGGCGAGTGCACTGCTACGGTTGGTACAGGTATCGCGTTTGGCCCTTGTATTTCGGGTTGGGCTTCTTTTATTGCATTAATCAGTTCTCCAGTGGTTTTGTATGATGATATAGTTGATTTGACGAAGTCTCTGCAGTTAAATTTTAAATTAGTAATAAGCAGTACGAATTACTAAAAAGCAAGATTTGAAAACTAATATTGCAGTGGAAGCCGGGAAGAGTCAACATATATGTTTAAAATACATAATATTCAAAATAAATAGCTGCTTTTTTGGGTCTCTGACTCTGAATCTGAGCTAGGGCCGCTAACTTAAATCAATACAATAGATGGCGAAAAAGAAGAACATAGTAGGAGAGACCGAGGAGAGTTAAAACAATTTTCAATTTTTGTTTCATATACCAAATACTATAGACAGAAATCTTATGATATTAGTACCAATCGATAGGCCATTCTGTACACTTGCGAATGTCTAACATAAAGAAATTGTAAGCGTTAAATGAAAAATAAACTTATTTCAACTCCCCTCATACCGAGGTAAGATGAAACACGGGTCGAGGAGAGTTGAAACATATGATTTTTAATAGCTTTAAGGGCTGTTAAATAAAAGCGATGATATAATTTAAAGGTATTTGTAGCAGCCAGGCTAATCAACCCTAAACGGCAATAAATAATATATACCCTGCTGCTACCATAACACAGAAGGCGAAGGTCTGAAGAAAACATTTATTTCCTAATTATCCCCGGCTACTAAGATACTGCGGGCTGCATATCGATGCGAGATAATTTGACGTATATATTTAACGTTCTAATATAGAAATAAGAAACAGCCGCAAATATCATTCAGCGCCACATCGTCTTCACACGCCGCTATCTTCATGTATCCGTCGACCATTTTTGAGCCATTTCTTCAACGCCGCAGCTCACTTCTTGCTGTTCCGGAGCTGTGTCCCACGCCGCCGCCGCTGCGCGCCGGTCTGCACCACTTTTATAGCCCAGTTCAGCAACGCAGCTACGAGAAGCTATACACGAGTCTCACGCCGGCAAATGGAGCGTACATAATAGTTGTATTTTAATCTTTATTGGTCATAATGTGTGAATTGTAATTGGCTAGGCAAATAAAAAATTGTTACTATTGGTAAACTAACGACGTAGCCGGACATATAAATATAGGCAGGATTGACCAAAAAATATATTACCAGTTATGTCCTACGCGGGCCCCGTCTTTGCCCACGCAAACCCTAATATTATAAATGAACTCCAAATAGTTCAGAACCTCTTCTGTCGTCGAGCTGCGAACGCACCTTGGTACGTCCGTAATGCTGACCTTCATCGGGACTTAGAGCTCCCAACAATTCAACAATTTCTTAAAAAACTCTCTGAGAACTTCTTCAAAGCCTCAGAGTCGCACCCAAACCAATTAATTCGTGAGGCAGCTTCTTATGCAGCCCCACCCCCCCTCTCGCTATCGTGTCCGCAGGCCGAGAAACTCTCTCTCGGACCCGCCTAATAAACTGTCAAACGACCTGAACTGTCTCCTGGCGGCTCAGGCCAACTCTAATTAAATTAAATTATTGTAATAACTAACATTAATCTGCCTTCGTAGGCACTCCCTCAGCGGCACTTAGCCGCCTGCGCCCTCTTTTCCCAAAAGAGGGTCGCTCATGATAAGGCACAATAGAGCTTAATCAGCCGGCTGCCTGCCCCCAAAAGCGGTTTTTAGAGGGTATCACTTAGGGTCCCCGGTAGGACAGTGAGCCCCTCATAACCACGACAGACCAGCTATCGTGGTATGCGTAATGCATTTTCCGCCCCCCTACGTATAGGGTAGCCCTTTAATTGCTTCGGGCGCAAAAAAAAAAAAACCAAAAAATATATTCCATATTCCATACTCCATACTCCATTCGTCTGCGCATAAAATAGTAGTTTCATTTCTCCGGCACTAGACCACTCTGAGTCTGTTAATAGTGGACCTCATATCACCACTATTACATATTTAAAAACCTTTCAAGCACGAAACAAACTTTTTTTTATTAATTTGTACCGATAATAAGTAGGTCTAATGCAAAAAATCAACTCTTAAAGTAGTTAAAAGTACCACAACGTCCTATTCGTAACATTAATTAAAATAACAGCCGGTAAACAAAGTGTTTTACATTATAAATATTTTACATAAAATATTTATTAACTATTAGTCGTTTCTTAAGTATTACAATCCTTGTGTGTCTTGATCACTATTTCTTTAAATATTTAAAATAAAAGTAAAGTAAAGTTACAGCCTATATACGTCCCACTGCTGGGCTCAGGCCTCCCCTCATTTCTGAGAGGGTTTAGGGCAAGGAAGTGTCCGCCGCGCTGCCCAAATGCGTGTTGACGAACTTCACATGTCTTCGAAATATTTTTTTTCTTATTCCTCAGACATGCAGGTTTCCTCACGATGTTTTCCTTCACCGCCGAGCACGTGGTAAATCAGCACTTAAAATTGCAATTAACAATTTCATTGGTGCCGGCGGGGATCGAACCCGGGTTACTCGCGTTCTGTTACTTTAAATATTTAAGATACAATAATCTTACAAATGTCAAAAATAAAAATATTATGAAAATAAAAACCGTCAATCTGACAAGCAGTTGTGGCAAACATGAGAAAGTTCCTCACCAGTGCAACCTTCATAAGCCCAACTGTTGCATTCCAGACATTGCACCCATTTTTCTTTGGCTCTGCGATTTGAATATGGCATTGAGCAATAAAGCCAAAACGATCCTTCTTCTTCTAAAGTGTCTTCATTTCTTCTTTGTTTTACATCCTTGACCTTTTTAGTTTTAATGTCGGATTTTGATTTTTTCTTGTTCTTGTTTCTTCAAAGTTAGGTTTTTTTCACCTTCTTCTTAGCCGTTCTAGATGCTTCGATTGCAGCTAGTTCATCCTTTACGGGAGTGTCGGTTAAGATAGCGGATTTCACTTTGCGTCTATTTCATTTCCTTTCCTTGGCAAGGGTTTCAGGTGAGTATGGAATTCCTGTCACAGTAACTGAAGTATCTCGTGATGTACATGCTACAGGTATTATATCTTCAGTGGTTGAAGGCATCGTGATACTATTAAGCATAACTTCAGATATCGCCAGATCAGGTGAATTTCTATCAGGTTTATCTGCAGACTTGGGTGCGTTTTCTATTTCGTAGCTTGAGATTTGAGGAGTAGCCGGTAAATTTAAGATTGATGGACTAGGTGTACGAGAGTCATGTAAAATGCTGTTTGCAAGGGGATGTTCATCACTTGTGCTAGAAGAAGGACATGGCGCGGGTTTTTCACTTCTTGAAATTCCCACCAAGTTAGAGCTAAAAGGACCAGGACTAACGGAAGTTGCCAAAGGTCGATCAGTAATTTTACTCGGAAGATAATCAGCGTCCTGGAATATTTCAGTGTTTCTTGTAATTTAAAAATAAACATCGTTTATTATCATTCTTTTAATAGTAATAAACAATGCTTATCATTATTAAAAGAACGTGAAGTTCAGGTTGTGTCAGTGACCTCTGACGGAGCGACAACAAATAAAGCAATGTGTAATTACCTTGGCTGTGACATTACATTATATACCAAAATTGGAACAAGCAAACTAAAACTAAGATGCAGATTTTGTGTGTTTTGTATACACAAATTTATGTACATATAAATAAATGCTTATACTGGATGATTTTTTCCGTCTGGAAAAAAATAGGGTTGTAACAGGTGAGCGGAATGGAAGCCTATGGCAATGATATTTCATTTTACGTTAGTATCACCCATATGCTTCTATTCCGGTCACCTGTTACAGCCTATGATTTTCCAGACGGTAAAAAATATATAAATAGAAATATATAAATAGAAAAAATATATAAAAAAATATATAAAAAAATAAAAAGTATATAAATAGAAAAGATAAATATCCTTTCATTTTCCAAAAGAAGATATGCCAATACAAACAGATAATATTTATTGCAAGAGCTTAAGAACTTTATGTTTTATTTTGTTTTTGGACTTGTAAAGTATGCATATTTAGATTTGAGATTTTTTTATTATAATATATTGAGCAAATACGAGTCAAAAGTAAGTTTATTTAGTATTATTTAGTAATTGTAATTAACTATTATTTATATTATTAATTAACTCTATTGTGAAGAGTCAAAATGTGTCGAAAAAAGCACGTATGGCAATTCACAATGCTGGGTTGGTGTACTGAAAGTTGGGTGTGGCAGAAGAAGCACGAGAGTAAAATGAACGCAGTAGGTAGAAATGTGGTAGTTAAGAAGTATGTTAGGGCTGAATCTGAATGACAGGGTGAGAAATTGTGTGATAAGAGAAGAGTGTGGTTTGCAAGATGATGTTGTGACCAGGATTAAGAAAGGAATGCTTCGGCGGTTTGGTCATGTGGAAAGAATGAATGAGGAAAGAGTGACAAAGAAAATTTATGTTGCAGAAGCGAATGGCAGAGTCGGAAAGGGACGTACTATGCGAATATTTATCGACCAAATTGGCGATTTATTGAAAACGGGCCAAATTAGCCTTAACCGACGAGCATTTATGCGTAGGTATATGGATGTGAAGGAGGAGAGAGAGGTGTGTCAGAATCGTGCCAAGTGGAAGTCTGTAGTCTTTGCCTACCCCTCTGGGTGACAGGCGTGAGTGTTTATGTGTTTATGTATTATGTAATTTCTGGATTTGGGGGCAAATAATGGGTTATATCTTATACGTTTCTTAGGTACGTTAAATTTACTGCAGATAGTAAAACCGGAGAATCTAGGTAGCCATTGTTTATTATATTAAACGGCAACATCATATCTTACGTCTATTTTCTAAGAACGTATAATATAGTAAGTATAGTGTAGTATATACGTGTAAATGCTATAATTCAAATGCCTTATTGTTGTTTATGCGTAATGTAATAGGGAGAACAAATACTACTAGTGTAATAAACATTTTTGATGCAGTTTACGTCCGAAAAAGGTTTGCCAGTACGTAGAACAAACCTTTGACTTTTTAAGTTTTTTGTACCATTGTATTTACGTGTTTTGTCACAGCCAACGTCTTGTCCCATTACTATTTTATTTATTAATTTCATCTTTTTACACACCTTTTAATGAAGGATATAAAATGCCGACTTACCTATTGTCTTACGGCATTCTCTACCAGCTAACCCTGGACGATTTTAGAAACCGTGGCAGGTATAAAGATTTTACTAAATAAAATGATTAATATAGATATAAGAAACAATAAACAATTTGAAAGTTATTACAATACAGTTAAATTGGTTTTATTTTTCTTGTAAAGGGAAAATAAATATTTTGTTTGAATTTTGTTTTAATTAAAAAAATTATTAACCTAACTAATGTAAAGCTGATGAAAAAGCGTTGCCTTTGGCAAACAGAATTTTTTTTAGTGAGTTTTGTGACATATTTTAACTTTATAGCACGATCGATCTGAAATACAAAATTGGAACAAAATTTAGCAAAATTGTTTCTAAATCAAACGTTTTTAAGTTCCATTGTTGAACACTTCGCCCGTAACAGGTCTTGGGTCTTCCCTTAATCCGAAATTAGTCTATGGTATATAAAAAAGCTAAAAAACGTCTAAGGCTTATAGTCAACCAAATCTAAGAAATACGTTTTGACGTTTCACATTAATCATTCCGTAATAACTTTGCACAAGCGCACTCACACGAGTTAAAATAAACTTTTATGTAAATTTGAATAATTATCAGGTTATCTATATTTCATTACAACGTGCATAGCTTTTTTATCACTAATTTAAAAACAAAGCAAAATATTAAAAAATAACCAGTATTAACTTTTTTTTATTTGACGTCGTTTCAATGACATGTCGCTATCTATATTACCGTAGTGTTTGGGTGATTAAAATTCATTGTTATGCGAATAATCGGCAAAATAATTAAATAATCGGTAAAAATATTCTAATAATCGAATCATTAATTTCTTAAATTTATTATTTGTTTAATTTAATTTTTATTTTCGAAATTCCTTAAATTACATGAATCATGAATAAAACAAGTTTATTTTTTTTCACTTTGTCAAAGTAAATTTTTGTAGGAAAAAAACTCATATACAAGGCCGTGCTAAAATAACCACTACATAATTTCAATATCCCGCCATTTCGATACCAGTTACTCGACTCCACAGAATCAGTAATTCATTTTTGAGGCGATGTATACGCTTTTATAACAAAATGCCAGAAAATATACAAAATTTGACGTACACATACCTAGTTCAAAAACTTTATTATACTAAGTTTGTATAAAAAGGGTTATTTTAATATTAAGGAATTTATGGATGATAATAAGCCCTGGGAAGGTTGATCGCTACCAAGCTATTTCTAATTTGTTTTGTATTGTTAATTGTGGCACGCATGATTGTAAGCTCTTATTTTTTTTTTAAAACTAGTCCCGTTGGGTTTCTTGCTGGTTCTTCCCAGGCTTCGATCAACAATACCAACTAGATGTCGGGTCGGCGCAAGAAATCCATCTAGTAAAAAGAGCGCACGTGAAACGTGAGCTCTTGCACGTGAGAGTGTAGCTCGCAAGGCAATAACGAGAAAAAGAACTTTATTTATTATAACTTAAGGTTGATTTCACACTAAATGTTATTTAATTCATGTCTTTTCATAGTTTATATTCATGCGGACAGTATTTAGCTATGATTTTGTACGTGACCAAGTTATCTAGTTGGTATTGTTGATCGAAGTTCCCAGGACAGAGGTATTTTTTGCGAACCAGTGGTAAATGAAAAAAGCGACTTTCGATAAATATTATTCATAATCTATATTGTATAAAGGTTTCTGTTTCTGTTTCAAGAGCTTACTGTGCGTAATTTTGTGATTTTGTGTTTGTCTTCTTATTTTGTGACTCGGCTTTAACTTTTTGGACTGTTTCTTTCTATAATAACTTTTTGTACGTGATAGAGCCACGCTACATATATATTATAGTTGTAGCACGAATGGGTCGGATCAACCAGGGCAGGACCATGTTCTCACAGAATACCAGCGTAAAATAGCAGCGTAATGCTGATGTGTTTCATATGGTAAGTGTGGAGAACCAGAGACCCTTTTTACTAGAATCGAGGCATTCCATCTTAGTCCTCAGGGGTGACAACGCATTTGCATTTTGATTCTTAATTGAGGATAAATGTGTATGTCTATGGGCCATAGCATCCACTTACCATCAGGTGGACTGTGAGCTCGTTTGTCACCCAATGCTATAAAAAAATTCGTTGAAGAATGTGCCCATGTCACAAAGGATGATTGGGCAAAAGTGGTAGAAAAAACAAAAAATTGATTATGGATAACTTTGAGAGACATTAATTTTGACTGTATTATTAAAAATCAAATAACAAAAATTAATAAAACAACGACATCCCTACTAGTTGTACTGAAAGTGATTGAATAAATTTATTTTGAATTTAGTTTAAATCTTAAATTTTTATAACTGTGCCTCTAGAAATAAGCAGTAACAACAAATACGAAAAATCTGATAAATCTTTTGTTTTAAATCATCCGTTTTTAATTTATTCTGGTATTATTCAAACCAAACTGTAAATGATTACGAACTCTAAATAATCGATATCGATTTTTTTAAGAATCGAATATTTTACGTTTTCATTTTTTGGTTGGCATGCTTGGTGCAATAAGTCTGACAGCTGTCAAAATGTATTTCTTAGATTTGATTGACTATAGTCTACAACCTTGTAAAGGAGAGATGGTGACATTCATACATTGACCTCTATATATACAAGTACGCTGTATATATAGAGGTCAGTGCATTCATATAACTGTACATTATATCTTTTTTATCCTGTAGGAAATGTCATATGCATAAAGAGGTCGGTTACATGATTTGCTTGTAATTACTCTGAGTAGTTAACGTTCTCAGCATGAAGGTTAGAGAACAGGAGAACGATCCCTACGTACTAAAGCATAGCCCGCCTGTCCTTGAAAATTGTAGAATACATAGCGGCACTTACGTCGGTGAGTAGTGACTGCGAAGTTAGCTGTTTATGAGTACAATTAGGTGAAGTTAGTTTAATAATGTACACATTTTCATTTCATTTTTTCGTAGAAAATTTTCATGCTCCGTAATTTTGTAATTTTTGACAAAAAGACACATTAAAAAATAGAGAAATATTTTATTGTGCGTGGATGTGCAAGTGGTTTAGCATCTGATCGGAAAACAGACTGAAAATGACTTTTATTGACTTAACTTAGTGATCGCAGCGCCTCACTGATGGTGTAATTTTTTAATTTTTGCCAAAAAGAAACATTAAAAATGGAGAAATATTTTATTGTGCGTGGATGTCCAAGTGGTTTAGCATCTGATCGGAAAAATAGACTGAAAATGACTTATTGAGCGAACTTAGCGATCGCAGCGCCTCACTTATAGTGTCCATATTTCTGGGACACTTTTTTCAACGGTGATCGTTCTCCTGTTCTCTAACCTCCATGGTTCTCAGGATCGAACACGCAAAAAAAATTCGCAATAGGCACGCTGCATTTTGATTCGTAATCGAGAATACATGTAGTTTATGGGCCACAGCCACCACTTACCATCAGGTGGACTGCGTGCTCGGATGCCACCCTTATCCTATAAAAAAATAAAAAATATGCCTACTCTTTGCAAAATAACGCAGTGTATTATATTATGAAAATATATAATAACGTGTAGGCAAGGAACTTGTCATAATTTTTACATTTTTTTTCTCACAAATAAAACATTGACTTGTATTTGTGGGATATTAATAAGTTCAATTTTGCCTTCATCGTGTCATTTACCTGAAGTAGAAAGCTTTGATGAAAACAGCAGGTTGGTAAGAATGACCACAACGTTCAGGGCCAAAACTCATGATGCCCATCAACTGGTTGCGTTGCACGGCTGGTGCTCCGGCGTCGAACTGTACATAGTCACAGATTAATAAATAGTTTACCAAACATAGTGAAATTGATATTTCAAATCTGTAGAGTCAGTGTTTTTTGGTTCGTAGAAATAGTCATTAAAATGTAAAATTTAATGCACTATTTCTACGAACTTATTAAATGGAAAATACCTAATGCTAAAGCGAGATTATACTCGATCATTGTAGGATAAACACAGTACCCACCATAAAAATATTACAGTCGAAATCGTATCATAATGAATTAGCTTGAGTTGATACACATTGAGTTAATTTTCATGTTGAATTTTATAGTAATCTCAGTCAGCATTACAAAATATGAAAACATATTTAAAATTTCTGTAGAAATAAAAAAAAAACGTGATCTAGAATGACATCAAAAATTAAATGCGATTAGCTGGATATCCGATTCGAAACTGCGAGGTAAATTTCTGCAAGGTGGTATGGTACCCAAAATCATTCGATTTCCGTTAGTTATTTGTACACATATTATGTCTTTACTCATGAAATTGCCGTTACTAATGAAATAAGTTAACGTTTTCTTCTATATTTTTTATTTCTATTAATCAAAGTAATCACCCATACAATCGCGACTCTACCTTTCCGGTATTGAATTGTTTTCCCACCAAAAACTTATCCAAATTTTGGAAAAAGTAGAAGTCTGTAGGCGCAAGGTCTGGTGAGTACGGCTGGTGACGGAGAGCTTCCAACCCCAGCTCTTGTAAGTAGAAGACCGTCTGTTGTCAGCATGCGGTCGCGCGTTATCGTGCGGGAGCAGCGGGGATGAGCGATTGACCAAAGCTGGTTGAAAACGTGCGGGCTCCTCCATCATTGTGTTCAGTTCTTCACAGTACTCATCTGCAGTAATATTTATCCCGTTTTGTAAACAAATGAGTAATTTTGAAAAAAGAACTCAATGTTTTTGAAATTGGAATTCTTAGCCAAACAATAATTATTTTGACTTAAAATGGCCAGTACTGCAGAACGGCAATTTCATAGGTAAAGACCTATTATCACATATTAATCGTTATTATCTTTTGACATTAATGTTACTTAAATCAATAACTCACAAGGCAAAGGTCTCTTGTGCCATTTCGGAGCGAAGCGCAGAAAAAATCCGGCGTAAACTGGAAACCGTTCACTAGCTGGTAGGCGTCGATGCAATAGCTGCGCGTGCGCACTTTTAAGCGCGTCGTTAGTAGATCTGGCGTGTGATCCCTAAATGCTGTTTCTGTGCCCTGATTGAAAAACCTTGAAATTATTTTATTAGCATATACTTCTTTTGGCGAGTTGTGAGTGATATTTTAGTTTACAAAAAAATATACAACATTAGGTTAGCCATTAAATCAGCCAGTCTCCTCTTACCCATTCGTTGAAAGGCTTGTGACTACACTTACAACGAATATTCGTCTTTTATTCGCTATTCGGCCTATTCGGTTACTTTTTTCCTATTCGGCCGAATACCGAATTCTTGAGTTAAGATGTTTTGTTGTTAGTCAGATAATTGGTAAAATAAAAATATTGATTTATTTCATTATGATGGATTTTTATTATAATAATTAAAGTAGCCATAGGTACATAACCAACTTCCGTATTTAAAAAATAACAAAAAACTTTCAGATAAATTTCTATGCACTTCAAATATCGTAATTAAAGTTGGAAGTGTTTATTGTGTGAATTGGTTATTATGTGGAATTAATTATGGTGCAGAAAGATTAAATTTTCTGCATTTTAGGCAGTTGTTTACTAATTTTCTCTTCGTAAACAACCCCAGCTTCCGAGAATATTCACTCTGAATAACAAACAGTACTTCCTTCCCGGCTGAAATACTTTTGCCTAATATTCGGCCAGGAAGCCTGCAGAATATTCGGCATTCGGCGTGTGGTTGCATATACTATTCGTTGCAAGTCTAGTTGTGGCTGTTGCAAGTTCAATCTTATGTTGCGTCAGTTGAATTGGAATTGCTGGATTTTACAAGTTTTCATTCACAGCTGAGCACGGTGTTTACGTGTTTCTTCCTAGTCAGTCCGTTAAAGTCTCTGCTAGACTATGTGGTGGAGCGTCGAGCCTAAGGTTGCCGAAGTCTAATTCCCCGGTCGAATCTTAAAACCTATTACGCGAGCTATTAATCTAAGTGGACTGTATCTACAAAATGTTTCTACACTTATATGAACGGCGACTATAGCATGCGGTATAATGCACTCGCTCTTCCCTAAAAAATGAACTATTATTTGCCAAATCGATGAAAGGAATCCTGCTTGATTAGGAGAAAAACAAAATTGGAGCGGGTTAAAACACAATTATATCAAGCAGGCAATATTAATAGGAATATTCGTTCACCGGGGTGTCTCTTCTATGCTGTTGGGCACTATAGCTGCGACTTCAGGAACTTCTTCTGGACAGACACTCTGGAGAGAGGCGGTGCGCGACTATATCTCACACGAGGTGAGGCGGGTTTCCTGGAGCTCGACTACTTCCAGGCTAAAGCGGTTCTACTAGCGGTGTGGTTCTAACAATGAGCGCGGCGGGAAGAGAGTGCGCGTCGGTCGCGCGTGCCTTTTATACATTCGGTTGCGATGATTACGTGATATTCTAGAATCATCTTCTTTCCCCTCCCACCCCACCACCCCGATGTGTCGATAGGAGGGTATGAATGATATCGTTTTGGAATGGGATAACCGATTTGGCAGCCTACCGTCAAATTAAAATAAATACGAATGGTTTTCCGCGCAACCATCTCCCCCGCCCTTGAAGGATTTTCTTCAAAATTAACAAAAACAACTAGAGCTAAGATCAAGCTAACAAAATAACTAACTAACGCTAAGATTACCTAAATTCAACAACAATTTCTAATCTAGAAAGTTAATTTAAATTATGGAAGAGGCAGGGGGCACAAACGGACAACAGGACGCAGGTAAGACCCAACCGTGGTCTTAACGCTAGCTACCCTAATTACTCCGTCGGAACCGGGAAAGACCTCTTCGACAATTCCTAACGGCCAGTGGAGAGGCGGCGTATTCTCTTTGGTGAGCATAACTACAGTTCCTACAGCTAAAGGCTCAGTTGCTGTGTTCCATTTTTGCCGAGACTGCAAAGTATGCAAGTATTCCATCCTCCATCGTTTCCAAAACGATTGCACTAACCGGTCTAATAATTTGTGGCGTGCGGAAATGCTAAGTCTGTTCTCATCCATATCTACGGCGGGCAAATACTTTAAAGGCGTTAAATTTAAAAAATGTGCTGGAGTTAGAGCCAGCGGTTCCGAGGGGTCACTAGACAACGTACGACAAAGTGGGCGGCTATTCATTACGCATTCAATTTGAGCGAGCACCGTACTTAGCTCTCGAAGGACAAAATTTGATCTCCTATTACTCGGTATAAGTGACTCTTAATATTAGTCTCCCAATTGCCTCCAAAATGACTCGCGGCTGGGACGTTCAGAGACCACTCAATGCGGTTCTCGGCTAGAATGTGAGCGAACTCCGAATTATAATACTTGTTAGCTAAGAACTCATGTAGTTCTGATAAAATACGTTTTGCACCGACGTAGTTCGTACCGTTATCCGAATATAATTTACTAACAGGGCCACGGCGGGATAGAAATCTTTTAAATGCACCCATAAAGCCTGCTGTGCTTAAATCACCAACGAGTTCTATATGCACCGCTCGAGTAGTTAGACATACGAAAATGCAGACGTAAGCCTTTGTGGATCTTATACCACGCCCGCGAGTGAGCGTGACCTTAAACGGACCAGCGAAATCAGACCCGGTGTGCGTAAAGGGCTTTACTGATTGTATTACTCTACAAGATCTAAGTTCCGCCATTTCCGGAAATGACGGCTTGGGGCGTGCCCGAAAGCAAGCTATACATCTGTGCACCCGATTGCGTATTAAACTACGTGCAGAAAGAATCCAATAATTCTGACGCAAGATCGACATCAGCAAGTCGGGGCCAGCGTGCGAATTCAATTTATGATGGTAATCGACTAATAAATTCATGATATGGTCTTTGCGCGGTAAAAATATAGGGTACCGTTGGTCGAAACTCAACTGCGAGTTGGACAAGCGTCCACCTACCCTTACAATCCCATCCTGTAAAAACGGCGTTGAAAGGCGCTACTACAAGCTCTATTCGATTGTAATCTTATAATTTCTTCAGAGAAGTGTGCACGTTAAAGTTCACGTAATACTAGTGACTCGGCATAGTTATAATCGGACGCTAAGACATACGAACGTCGCGGTAAAAGCTTTGCGAATCGACAAACGTAAATTACGCTACGCAATAATTTCGCCCAAGAGGACAAGCGGTTCGCCAAAGCAATGATTGGAGAAACCTCGCTCGAAACGTTCGCCATTAGAGCGTGTCTCTTCTCTTCCGGCGGTTGTGACACTGACGAAGGTTCGAAATCGGTTATTGGCCATTGCGAGGGATCCAAGTGAACCCAAGAAGGTCCGTGGAACCAAAGCGGGTAGTCCATTATTTGCATCGAGGTGAGTCCACGGGATAGACAATCGGCAGGGTTTTCCGTACCGGACACGTGATAAAAGTTCCGCGTTTCTAACTCGTCTTGGATCTTGGCCACTCTGTTCGCGACAAACGTATCCCAAGTGAACGACTACTAAACACCAGTCCAAATCCTGCCGAAGTGACCATAAAATGGTGGAGCGTCGAGCCTAAGGTTGCCGAAGTCTAATTCCCCGGTCGAACCTTAAAACCTATTACGCGAGCTATTAATCTAAGTGGACTGTATCTACAAAATGTTTCTACACTTATATAAACGGCGACTATAGCATGCGGTACAATGCACTCGCTCTTCCCTAAAAAATGAACTATTATTTGCCAAATCGATGAAAGGAATCCTGCTTGATTAGGAGAAAAACAAAATTGGAGCGGGTTAAAACACAATTATATCAAGCAGGCAATATTAATAGGAATATTCATTCACCGGGGTGTCTCTTCTATGCTGTTGGGCACTATAGCTGCGACTTCAGGAACTTCTTCTGGACAGACACTCTGGAAAGAGGCGGTGCGCGACTATATCTCACACGAGGTGAGGCGGGTTTCCTGGAGCTCGACTGCTTCCAGGCTAAAGCGGTTCTACTAGCGGTGTGGTTCCAACAATGAGCGCGGCGGGAAGAGGGTGCGCGTCGGTCGCGCGTGCCTTTTATACCTTCGGTTGCGATGATTACGTGATATTCTAGAATCATCTTCTTTACCCTCCCACCCCACCACCCCGATGTGTCGATAGGAGGGTATGAATGATATCGTTTTGGAAAGGGATAACCGATTTGGCAGCCTACCGTCAAAATAAAATAAATACGAATGGTTTTCCGCGCAACCACTATGTGATAGCATTTTCGACAGTACTCCCTGTCGCTGATCTGTCTTTTAAGACCGGCATTAACTATGTGATACCATTTGCGACACTGCTCTCCGTCGCTGATCTGTCTTTTAAGATCGGCATTAACTATGTGATACCATTTGCGACACAGCTCTCCGTCGCTGATCTGTCTTTTAAGACCGGCATTAACTATGTGATACCATTTGCGACACTGCTCTCCGTCGCTGATCTGTCTTTTAAGACCGGCATTAACGAGACACAATGACCAACATTAATGGCCATGAAATCATAACAACAACGGGCTGACATGGATTAATCCATACGTGGAGCATGGATTAAACCATGTAGCACAGCAAAAAATAAAGTAACTATGGTGTTTCATTTTTGAAAATATAGTTATGTATTAAAACGTGGTTATTGAACAGATGAAATCGTCGAAGCCGGCCAGGAAATATTGTGACGATCACCAGCATCAGAAATGTTTAAATAAATACATTTAAAAAATAATTTAAAGTTACCTCCGTTGCGCCCCATCCAGATACAGCAACGAAACTCTGTGCGAAAGGCTCCTTCATGCCGTCATAAATCCTGATCAAGTCGATAGTTTCGTCGAACTCTGCGAGAGACAGAGAGTGCGAATTTATTTTCAAATGTCTTTAGATATATTGTTTACTACATAATTCAATGACTGCATCATCATTTAACATCTCTTAACAAAGGTAATTCTGAGTCGAGACATCTACGTTGATGATATAGTAAGTTCCCTCATATCGACGGAGGAAGCAGTCGATGCTGTTACTTAACTCATTCAGCTCCTTCACGCAGAGGATTTTCAACTTACGATAGGGGCAGTTCCATTCCATTCCATTCCAGTGACAGTTCCATAGTCTTACAAGCTATTCTAAATACTTATACAATATGCGACACCTTATCTGATCCAAAAGGGGACACATTAAGTACCGCAAAGACATTATTAAAAAAAACATATTAATGAAACGTTATTGTTCCTATTTAAAATACATGTTATCCACTACAATTTAATAAAAATTCAACAAAAAAGGCAACACATTTATCTAAGACGGTATCTCTAAACATGTGACGATCTTGTCCGATGGCAAGGAGTAGTACCAAAGAGTAAAGGATCTCTTTATTACCAAGGTATTACAAAGACCTATTAAAAGGTCCCTATAATCATCATCATTACAGCTCATCACAAGTCCACTGCTGAAGATAGGCCTCCCTCCACACGGAACGCCATGAAACACGGTCCCGAGCCACCTGCATCCATCGATTTCCGGCATGTCTTTCCAGGTCGTCCCGTCATCTAGTGGAGGGCCACCCTACACTTCATCTACAGATTCAGGTACAGGCTGTCACTCGAGAACCTTTCTTCCTCATCGGTTACCAATTCTTTGAGCTATATGATCGGCCCTTTGTTACTTCAGCTCACTAATCCGTTGGGCTCTGTCGGTTACTTTGGTTCTACTGCGAATATCATCATGTTATCATCATGAGTTGTTATGCAGAGAAACCCCAAACATAAAGCCAAAGCTCGCTAAGCGACCTGGAGCTTCCTCGTACGGTCATCAGTGAAGGACCGCGTCTCAGATCCATAAGTCGTAACTGGAAAAGTACTGGTTGTATAATCTCGTTTAAAGGGTCTCTTTAAACAAGTTAAAATATTTCATTAAACAAAACCTGTACCCTATACATAGGGTTATTTTAATATAAATTTAATTTTATTATTATTATTTAAGTTAGTAGGGTTATTATAATATAATTAAAACAAATGCCGGTGCACGTGCACCTTCAAATCGTATAATGAAATTATACAACAACAAATTTAATGACATAGATATCTTTGGATTAACTTTTTCTAGATATAAAAAAGCTGTGTATGAGGCTCTGTCTGAATTTGATGCAACTTAATGTAATTGTTTATTTAGGTTAAATTTAATTTTTCACATCTATGTACTATCTATATATGTGTATGACTATGTGCGTGTATGTATATGTTTGTATATATGTGTGTATGTATATGCGTGCATATGTACATGCATATGTGTAAATTAGTTTGTTTTTCTCCGTATTTATTGGTGAACGGGTCGTTTTTAATAGAACATTACATTTTCATTTTTAATTGTTACGTACACAGACCCAATAGTAATATGTGGATAACGGTGTTGATTGTATGATTATTAAGCTTAAATATAGTATTGTGTTTAATAATAAGATTATATTATACAACTGTGAGCCGTGGTAGCTCAGATGGTTAACGCTCGCTGTAAATATAACAGAACGCGAGTAACCCGGGTTCGATCCCCGCGGGCACCAATGAAATTGTTAATTGCAATTTTAAGTGCTGATTTACTACGTGCTCGGCGGTGAAGGAAAACATCGTGAGGAAACCTGCATGTCTGAGGAATAAGAAAAAAAATTATTTCGAAGACATGTGAAGTTCGCCAACACGCATTAGGGCAGCGCGGCGCACACTTCCTTGCCCTAAAACCTTCTCAGTAATGAGGGAAGGCCTGTGCCCAGCAGTGGGACGTATATAGGCTGTAACTTTACTTTTAACTTTATACAACTGTTTGTTATCCCTAATAAAGAGAATAAAAAATGGATACATGGTTGATGCCCCACCCACAGGTGTCGTAAGAGGCGCCTGAGGGAAGCAAATCAGGACACGGGTAGCAGCGTCTTTCTAATAACTATGAAAAATAAAAATAAACTAGTTGGCAACCCGCTTGCCAAGCGTGGCAACTATAGCAGATATCCCTTATACGAGGCAATCTATCTGTTCAGCAGTCGACTTTTAATAGGCAGTAACGGCAACGGTGGTTGATAAGAACCCCTGGGAACAAGGTGGTCGCTTGCAAGCTGTTTTCGCCACCCTCTTGCGCAGCAAGCTGCGTAAATAAGTTTTGTTAGTACTTTGTACAACCTGCGTACGTTCTCATTGTATGATTATACTTTGAAAAAAAAAAGTTCAGCTTGGTTTCTTGCTGGTTCAGTCCAGGACAGAGTTTTTGCCGAACCAGTTATAAAAGAAAAAACTGACTTGATAATGTATTATCAAGTCAGTTTTTTCTTTTTATAATTACCGGTACATTGGGTATTGCCGATACAGGGACATACATAAAAAGAAAGTTCTCTATATAGTGTTAAATAATGTCTATGGTTTTTTTATATATTTTTGGGTTAGGGCATATACTTAGTCGGGTCATAAGTTCTGACAAAACCTTATTATTTAATAATTTTGAATACTAGGTGAACTTCACCAATTTTAAAAATATAACGTTTGCGCTTGCCGAAAATATACCTATAGTTATAGTTACAGCCTATATACGTCCCACAGCTGGGCACAGGCCTCCTCTCATTTCTGAGAGGGTATTAGGGCAATAAATACTCCGCCGCGCTGCCCTAATGCGTGTTGGCGTATTTCACATGTCTTCAAAATATTTTTTTCTCATTTCTCAGACATGCAGGTTTCCTCAGGATGTTTTCCTTCACCGCCGTGCACGTGGTAAATCAGCACTTAAAATTGCAATTACCAATTTCATCGGTGCCGGCGGGGATCGAACCCGGTTTGCTCGCGTATTGTAAAATTTACAGCGAGCGCTAACCATCTAAGCTACCACGGCTCTCCTCCACGGAGTTCCGAAAATATAAAAGACATTAATTTTCATTTATTTTCAAATATGGAGTGGTCGACGAAAGAAGATTGAGTAGCGGTTATCGCGTTGCACCAAAAGAGGTTTTCAATATTCTAGAAAAATTGAAAATAACCCTACGATTTATTTATCGCACTATCAAACGATTCACTGAAGATTCAAGCTTCAAAGATCGTAAGAGAACCGGCCGACCTCGTACAGTTAGGACACCAGCGACAGCGATCATCAAAGCAGTGAAGGCGCGAATCCAACGAAATCCGGTTCGTAAACAAAGTCTTATCTCTTCAGATTGGCCTAAGCAGAACCACGGTCAAAAGAGTGATCAATGAAGACCTGGGACTACGAGCTTACCGTAAGAAGACCGGACATTTTTTGAACGAGCGTTTGAAAAAAATTAGGCTGGATAGATTCCGCGCTTTGTTATGGCGGTACGCGGGAAAAAATACCGCGAAATGTATTCGGATGAAATTTTTTTTAACATCGAAGAAAGTTATATTAAAGAAAATGATAAGGTCCAAGTCCACACCGTCGTCCACAGCAGTGAAGAAGCCAGCACGCGTATTCATAGGGTTCAACGAGCACATTATCCTTTGTCACTTATGGTTTGGTTAACTGAGGTGTTTTTCTGTGAAAAAGGTGTAAAAACCATTGCCGAGGTGTACCAAAATACCGTCATAACAAACATAGTGGAACCTCATTCTCAAACAGTGTTCAAAAACAGACATTGAATATTTCAACAGGACTCTACAGCAGCCCATAGGGCACGAACACAGACTATATAACCATAGGTTATATTCTCACTTCTCACAGTGGTTATATTCTCTATGGGCACGAAGCACGCCCTCAGACAGGTCCTCTTCTAGTCCAGATTTAAGATATGGCCACATTTGGAGAAGAAAGTCTGCGCTAAACCTCATCAGAATTTGGAATCTCTCCGAGCAACTTTGGCTAAATCAGCGGCAGAAATAAATATTAGATAGAGAGGGGGGATGCGTGCTGCGATTGATGATTGGCCGCGACGATTAGGGGCAGGTATTCAAAATAGGGGAGGGCATTTTGAATAATGTAAATAAAATTGTATTATAAATTAAATTACCTTTCATTTCATATATAATTTTTATATAATTATCAAAAAGTGTATCATTAATTTTATGAAAAGTTTTTGACAGAACTCATGACCTGACTAAGTATTGCTAGTGGCCAATGTTCTTGATTTTTAAGTCCTTGTTGCCTGGAATGAAGATATTATCACAACAGACTGCCTCGTTGGTTTAGTGGTTGTAGTAGTACGAATGCTGATCATGAGGTCCTGGGTTCGAATCCCAGATCGAGCCAAAAAAAATATTGAGTTTTTCCGTCAAGAAATTCTCAGTAATTGCCCGGAGTCTCACCCCGGAGTTGGCGGTGTCTCACCCCCCTGCCTCGGAAAGCACGTAAAGCCGTTGGTCCTGCGCCTGATCTCTCTCCGGTCGTGTCGGTTTACCGTCCTATCGGATTATGAGAGTGAGGGAATAGAGAGTGCACTTGCGCATACACTTGGGAACTATAATCTTGTCCTGCGCCGATGGCTAGCCTCCGTTGAGGCTGGGCACCGTGGCCGAAATTCGGTCTGGAGGACATTATAAAGATATTATAATTTATTGTGTTGTACTGCAATAAGAATTATTACAAATGCAAATTAACAAGTAATAATCGACCAAATTATAAAATACACTTGGATTATTAAAAATTTTGTTAAACTTCCGTAGAAAATACCTTAAAACTAGCTGAATTGTAACTGTAATGTTATTCTTAACTGTAAAAATTAAACTATTTTGAAGAAAACGACTTATGCTTGCTTGCGTACTGTGAAGTTTACAAAGAGCGCTTAGCCCCTGAGTTATCAGGGCCAAACGCGTGATAAAAGGTTTAGATATAAAGGTAGAATAATTTAATTTTTGATTTATACCTGAATTTAATCTTAGAGCAAGCGATTATGTCGTGAGCTATCGTGGTCAGTTTGTGGCTTGGAAAAATAAAAAAATTATAATGACAACCTTTGATCATATGACAGGTGTATAATCAAGGATGACAAACTATCAACAATAATCACATTTTTACTGTCATTTATCAATTTTTATGTTTTAAAAACGTTACCTCCACACTAGGATTTACTACTGTATCGTGGGGGCAGGGGTACATAAATTTCACAAGGACAAACATCCAGACCCGGGACAATTGAGCCATGCAAATACAGGGTGGGCCAAAAATTTTTGCAAATAGCAACACTAGATTATTTTGAAAAACCGTTCGAGGGAGGGGCGCGCGGGTGGCGGGAAACTGCGTCACTTGCAATTTTAGTCAAGATGGAGCGCTTCACGGGACAACAGCGTGCTTTTTGTGTAAAACAATTTTACAAAAACAATGATTCCTACGTTACTGTACGACGCCTGTTTAGAATTAAATATGGATTACGCCGTATAAGTGAGTGTCCAAGTGTTAATTTGATCAAAGCTTGGGTCGAGAAGTTCGAGCAAACGGGATCAATGACGAATATTAAACAAACAGGGCGGCCACGTTCAAGAAGAAGTGATGAGAATGGAGGAATCCTCATCTACGGTAAGGCTCTGGCAATACCAAGAACTAGTCTACGGCGGATTTTGCATCTGGACCTCAAACTACACCCATATAAGCTTCAAATTGTACAGGAGATGAAACCAAATTATTACATTCAACGTAAGTTATTGGCTGACACTATGCTGGAGCGATTCTCTAGCCTTGAGAATGTATAGTTTACGGACGGGGCCCATTTTCACATCAATGGGCACGTGAATAAGCACAATTGTCGATATTGGAGCAGGGACAACCCTCGCCTTAAAAACCATAAGCCACTTCCTTCACCTAAAACGACAGTATGGGCTGCCATATCAGCAAAGGGCATAATTGGTCTGTATTTCTCTGAAAATAATCACGGAAATAATGTAACTGTGAATTCAATGGAATACGTCAAGATGTTGCAAGACTTTTTGACGCCGCAGTTGCATGAATTTCAAGGGTACAACAACAGGACCTGGATGCAACAAGATGGAGCAACATGCCATACGTCAAATGTGAGTTTACCGGTAGTCAAAGAAATGTTTCCGAACAAATTGATTTCTTGCAGAGGTGATACCCCTTGGCCTTCCAGAAGCCCGGACCTTACACCATGCGATTTTTTCTTGTGGGGATATCTGAAAAGTCGAGTGTACCTTAATAAACCGACGACAATATCCCAATTAAAACAAAACATCCACGAGGAGATAGCCGCGATCCCCCACAGCATGTGTCAGCGAGTTTTCCAAAGTTTGCGTAGTCGATTTCAGGAGTGCCAACAACGAGGCGCACATTTGGACGATGTCATTTTTAAAAAATTAATTTCTTTAGATGATTATTACGATAAATAAATTATCAACAAAATAACATTTGTAGTTTTACTTCTATTCAGGTTTCAAGAGTGCAATAATTTTTGGCCCATCCTTTATATGATCCGTGCGGGATTCGACTCCGCGGCTCTTAGCGTTGCCACTCATAATCATTAATTATTAAAAGAATTTGGGCACAATTAATATAGACTTTTTAAAAACTATACATTATTAATATAAATTATTTATAAATCATAAAAAATTATGCGTGCTTGAAGAATTAACATAAATTATTTACATAAATTATTCACATAAATTATTTATAAATTATAATACTAAGTATGAATCATTTTAAATAAGTCTTAATAATTGTGCACAATATCTTTTTCTATTCATAACTTTTTGTTATTAGGTAAGTACATATAATTTCTAAAATCATACTTCATTTGCGTTATATAAACAATATAAAATTATTTCATCCAAGTCGCACATGTGTGACCTTCATAACGTAAACAGGCTTATCTGGCCCGTCCATATTGCCACACTAGTAATGCTAATTATATCCTTAATGTCCATACGCATAATGTACATTTTGCAATGGGACTCAAACAGGATTATATTTGATGAATCACTGTTTAAGGACATTAACATTAGAGCTCTACATCGCGCTATTAAATTTTTTACAATGTGTGACTATATATACAATGAGCGCGAAATGCGTTATTGGGGAGTCCGTTTCTATACAGGGGAGTAGTGAGTGGTGGAGTAAGAGCTACTCTAATTCTTCTCCACTCTTGTACGCGTAGCGGTTTTGCGGGGTTTACGCTACTGCGAGGCATGTACCGATAAGAGGCATATTTTTACGCCCACGGTCGTCTCTGATTACAGAATCCAGGCCCACAGTGGCGCCAGTTCGATGTCAGCCCACAGCGGCCCAGTGTCTAATGAAGCAAGGTCCACCCAGTCAAATATAAAAACGTGATAACATGAAACTAGTTACCAAGGTTTTCAGCCAACTTCAGTAGTGCAACGTCGGCATGAGGCACGGGTTCTTCTTCGAACTTCGGATGGCGCACCGCTCCAACTACATCCATTAGCTCACCATTCTCATGTACACGAGAACTGCCAACTCGTACCTTTACAAACTGACCCAGCGTCTTGAGCGGTGATACGTGAAGGACACTGCAAAGGACGGTATATTTGAAACGTTCATTGCAATATCAACAACAGACTTTTTATAGCTTAAGGGTTATTAACAAGGACACTGTCCACGTAATAAAAAGAGGATGCTGTGGCCCATAGACATCTATATTTACAAATATAGCTAGAAGAACCGACAACCGTTGGGGAAAAAAGGTTCTCGAGTGGCAGCCGCGTATCGGTAGGCGAAGTGTAGGGCGACCCCCCACTAGATGGAGTGACGACCTGATAAGACATACAGGAAGTCGATGGATGCAGGTGGCTCAAAACAGTGCTTTGTGGCATACCCTGGTGGAGGCCTATGTTCAGCAGTGGACTTGTGAAGGGCTGTAATGATGATGATGATGATGATGAATAATCAAAATACAGATGTGTTGGCATCCCTAAAGACTAAGATGGTTAAGATACCTGGTTTCCAGTTAAAAGATTCTCCGGTTTTTTTACGCTCACCATACCAATTAGCAGAATTAAGCTTCTATTTGACGCTGGTATTCTCGCGTAGTCGTTATTAATATTTTTTTTAACCTTTTACTTACTTCACCGTGTAGAGGCAATTTAAGAACATACACATCCACTTTCCTATTTCATCCCCTGGATCTTCAATGAATAATAATGAAAATTTATCGATATCGATCCGCACATTACAGTCACATCACACATCAATACGACACCATTTTCAATTAGACACTTAACCCTACAAAGGTCGCATGGATTACAATAGTAAACCTATAAAATAATCTTAAATTTAGATACTTCTGGAACTAAATGATTAGAAAAAAGTTTGTAACTTGTCGTAAGAGGCGACAGAGGGAAATTGAAGCTGGAGATGGGCGGCGGTATCTTACCGATTACAACCCAAAATAAAAATAAAAGGATGCAGCTATGATGAAATCCCTCCTATGGGTGAGGCATATGTTCAGCAGCGGACTTTAATATAATGTAAGGGATGGAATTCTTTTACTTACTAATTAAGGCAATGAGCTGCTGTCAACACCCAATTCACGTCGACAATAGCTCCAGCACACCAGAGCCGCCCGTTTATAATAATAGCAGCCATATACGGAAAATTCTTTGTATCGGTTGCGTTACCGCCGCGGATTCGTAGCGCCTTTTTCTTTTCCAGGAGCTCCTTGTTGAGCATTCGGAGATTATTTTGCCGTATGCGACGACCGTCTTGAGCTATTTCCGGATCCTCATTCACCATGTCCATCCGAATGTTAACTTTAAAAGAAACTGTTGTTTACATAACTTTATATTTTGTATTAAAAGTTACAGTCTATATAAGTTCTATTTCTGGCCACATGTCTGCTCTCATTTCCGAGAGGGTTATAGTATATCAGCCTAATGTTACGGTGAGTATAAAGAAACGAAGACCTTTTTTATTGGAAACAAGGCATTCCGTCTCAATCCTCAGGGGTGACAATGCATCTACATTTTGATTCTTAATCGAGGATAGACGTAGACGTCTATGGGCCACAACATCCACTTATCACCAGGTGTACTGTATGCCGCTTTGTCACCCTTATTATATGAATAAACAAGTGACAACGTGTTAGCGGGCTTTACTTGTCTTCGGAATTTAAGGTAATTTTATACTGTTACGAGCTTGAGGTTCGTGACAATAAAAATTGCCGATAGAATTACCCAAATTAACACTTTAATTTTCTTTACACCAATTAAAACTTAAAACACTAATAATTAATCACACTGATTCACTTTATTCCGCTCCGAAGCTTCGCTTGTCTCGCCAACTTCAATACTTCCCCGATCGCATCTTGCAGCGCCTATTTATATAAATTAGCACGGAAATATCCAGAATACTCAAGTAAACACGCGCAAGGTACCGAGAGTTCGAGTTTCAACTAGGCGCTAGTGCCGTCGACTAAGGCGCGTAACACTGCCCCCTCCTAAGACATGCTCGTCCCGAGCATTATCGGCCCCATAATAACGCGCCAGGCGATCCACATGGACGATCTTAGGAGTCCCTCTTGCGCCTTTCTGTATCCGGTAGGTTACATGGTTGATCCTGGTCACAATCCGGTACGGGCCATCCCATTTAGCTTGAAGCTTAGGAGATTTCCCTTTGCTGTGGACTGGATTGTGCAACCACACAAGTGAACCTTCGTCGAACCCTTTGTTGTTAATTTTGCGGTCGTACCGGGTTTTCATCTTTTCAGACATTTGCTGGCCCAATTGTCTGATGTGCTCATAAACGTCATTCATTTTGTTTCGCAAGTCATTTGCATAATCGGTTATACTGCGTGGAGCATCAGGTGGTATCCCGGTGATCAGGTCTGCAGGCAGCCGTAATTCTCTTCCAAAGTTTGCGAAAGCTGGTGTCACTGCTGTACTTTCGTGAACAGCGCTTCGATATGACAACAAAAACGGTTGTATGTGCTTGTCCCAATCTCGTTGCCGATTGTCTACAACTTTTGCTAGGTACCTCTCCAATGTCTAATTAAATCGTTCTACCATTCCATCAGATTGCGGGTGATAAGAAGTCGTTCTTGTTTTATGAGTACCCATAACTCGGCAAGTTTCCTGGAATATTTGAGACTCAAAATTCCTTCCTTGATCGCTGTGAATCTCTAAAGGTACTCCAAAACGACAGAAGACTTCATGAACTAGTTTATCTGCAACTGTTGAAGCTTCTTTATTTGGAATGGCGAAGACTTCTGGCCACTTAGTGAAGTAGTCCATCACAACCATGAAATACTTGTTACCGCTTTTACTCTCCGGAAACGGCCCCGCCACGTCAATGGCTATTCTCTCCCATGGTGCACCAACATTGTACAACTTCAATGCACCTCTACTACGAGTCTGAGGTCCCTTTACAGCCGCACAACTTGTACATTTGCGACACCAGTCCTCGACATCGTTTCGACAGTGGACCCAGTAAAACCGTTCTCGGATCTTCAGTAGAGTTCGTTTAACTCCCAGATGGCCTCCTGAATAATCATTGTGGTATAGCTGTAGAACATCCGGTACTTTAGCTTTAGGGACAACCATTTGTAAATGACAGCTGTCTCCCCGAACATTTTCGCATTTACGGCACAGAACTCCATCCTGAAGCAGCAAGCTGTCCCACTGGGCCCAATAGCTTTTAGTGGCCGAACTCATCGCTGCGACGTCGCTCCACTTGGGTTTGGGAGCACTGGCCTTCATCCATTCCAAGATCGGCTTGATGTCCGGATCTTCCTGCTGTGCACGTTGAAAGCTGTCCTTCCACTCGTTGCTGAGGTGGTCGGCCCTGAGCATCCTCACGGATACCACTTCCTTACTCTCTTGCCTAGTACAATATTTGCAATCTTCAGGACAAGGTCTTCTTGACAATGCATCTGCGTTGCCATGAGATTTCCCGCTGCGATGTTCGATCTCAAAGTCGTATTCCTGCAGTAGTTCAATCCACCTCGCAACTTGTCCTTCTGGATTTTTAAACTGCAATAGCCATTTTAGTGCAGCATGGTCCGTCCGTAAGCGAAATTTTCGCCCCAGAAGATATTTGCTAAAATGCTGCAACGACTTTACCACAGCTAGCAATTCGCGTCTTGTGACACAATAGTTCCTTTCCGGTTTTGACAACGACTTGCTGAAGTACGCTATCACGACCTCTTGGTCACCATTACGTTGAGACACCTTTTAAAAAGTCGATGATGATGTCATCCAAGTAGACCAGACAGGCATCGCCAATTAGCCCGGTAAGTACAAGTTCCATCAGCCTTTCAAACGTTGCTGGAGCATTGCACAACCCAAACGGTATTACCTTAAATTGCCACAGACCCTTTCCCGTCGAGAACGCAGTTTTCTCCTTGTCCTTAGGGTCAATTTCAACTTGCCAGTAGCCACTTTTTAGATCCAGCGTGTTAAACCACTTTACTCCTGTAAGCATGTCCAGCGTGTCGTCAATTCTTGGCAAGGGATAGCTGTCCTTCTTAGTAACGTCGTTCAGACGGCGGTAGCCAACACAAAACCGCATGCTGCCATCCTTCTTCTTTACCAGTACCACGGGTGAACACCATGGACTAGATGAAGGTTCAATAACACCATCCTTCACCATTCCCTCAATCATGGTTTCCACTTCCTTTTCACGTGCTACCGGCAATCTTCTTGGCCGCTGACGGATAGGCAATTCTTCACCTGTGTTTATTTTGTGTTGAACTAAGCCAGTCTTTCCTATGTCAGCATCCTTTGATGAGAATACATCGGCTGCCGCGATACTTGAGTAACAACTTCTTCGCTTTGACCATTTCATTCGGGGAGAGAACGCTGCGACAGTCTTCTAAAAGTGTGCTCACTCTCGTTTGTGCATCCTTGCTGGGGGTCCCAGTCGATAGATATTGGCACCGACGTAACCAATCCACTTCCTCACAAGTAGCAACCAGTGTGCCTTTTTCTATAATCTGATCCTGGACACAAAGGTTCAGCACACGTACTCCTGAGATGTTAGTGGTTCTGACCAAGGTTCGAGCCACTTTCCATGGAAGGTTATTTTCTAACCTTTCCAAGAGTACACAACGATGAGGTTGCCCAGGATTTCGAGGAAGACTAACCGGCACCATCGTTTCCGATCTCGGCGGAAGAACAATCTTCTCAAGGCTGTACACGTTCCCTGGTAACGCTCCTTCCACAAAAAGTTCCTCTTGTCCACATTTCAAGACACCTTGCTTAACGTCAATCGCACAACAATTCTTCCTCATGAAGTCTAGGCCCAGGATGCAGTCGTCCATTATATCAGCCACGATGACATTATGCAGGTAGATCATGTTGCCTAGTTTCAACTCCATCTCTTTCTCTCCACGGACGGGTATACGCTGACCGGTGGCTGTTATCAAATTAATGCGTTCTCGGTTGTATGCGGAGTCCCCAAGGAACTGACTTATTAGTTGGGAACTAACAACCGTACGAGAGGCTCCAGTGTTTATGGTCAGTTTACACGGCATTCCGTTGACCTCGCCCTTGATAATTAGACTGTTCCTATCGTGAGTTTGTGTGATCGAGATCCTTGGGGCTCTTTTAATATCAGCCAGCACCCGCCCCGCAGTTCTGGCTTTTACTCGTTTCCCTGCTACTGCTGGGCGGTGCTGTTGGCCGCACTACCCTCCTGATATCGTTTACCTTCCCTTTCTGCGGTTCGCTTAGGGCAGCTGGATCGAAGATGGCCCTTTTCCCCACAGCCATAGCACCTAGGGCTGTATCCTTTGTTGCGGTCGCGAACTGTAGCTGCTGCAACCTCCCTGACGCGATGGGAACGACGATCCTGCCGCACGGCTTCCACCTCCAGTGCATGGGCCAAGGCGTCCTTAAGCGTCTCGTGGTGCCCGAGCCTCACAGCAGCTCTGACTTCCAGGTCGCGGATGCCGTCGATGAATGTCTGCACCAGCTTCCCTTCAATGAGCGCAGGTACAGACCGGTATACTTTTCGCACCAGCTTCTCCACCTCTAGAGCCCACTCCTGCAGGTTTTCGTTGATGCGCTGCACGCGATATTTAAGCTGCGCACGAAAGACGTGTTCCAGGTGAGCGTCACCATATCTCGCCTCCAACGCCTCAAGGAGTTGCTCATAAGTCACTTCCTCACCGAGAGCTTCCAGAACTGTTAAGGCCTGGTCGCGCAGGCCTAGTATGAGAGCAGTCATGGCCTGAATTTTATTTCAGCCGTTCGCCTTCATAACAGCCTCGAACTGGATTTTGTAGGCTGACCAGGAGGAGGTACCGTCGAACGGTGGCACCTTGAACCCACGTAGCGAAGGTGTTGTAGCTACTACGGGAGCTGTAGCTCCCTCTCCAAGTTTGAGTTCGTCCAGTGATTTCTTCATGTCAGCCATTACGTTATCAATCCGATTGTTTACTTGGTCGATTCGGGTTTCAGCTTTCGCGATTTGGGTTTTAGCTTCCGACAGGCGGTTGTCATGCTTAGCAACCTTATCCTTCACCTCCTTTATCTCCTTCCCGAAGGTAGCGTGAAGATCCTTCATGAGGAGCATCTGCTTTTCCAACCGACGGGCCTGTTCCTCCTGTCCGCCCCGCAGCTGCTCTTCCAATCGGCGTGCCTGTTCCGCCTGCTGGCGAGCCTGTTCCTCCTGCTGCTCTTTCAACCAACGGGCCTGTTCATCCTGTCCGCCCCGCAGCTGCTCTTCCAACCGACGAACCTGTTACTCCTGTCGGCGAGTCTGCTCCTGCAGCATCACCATCAGAGCACCTAAGTCAGGTG